ACTAGTACTACGAAAGAAACACCGACACAGTTTGACCTTTACGGGGTCGTTATATACTGACGATGGTCGTCCCTAGAGATTTTATTATTTACACAGATATATGAGTTGGACAATACGTACAGAAGACATAAACATCCAATATCCCCAACCTATATCCATTCAAACGCACGTGAAAAACACATTTATTTATTTTTTGTAATGAATGACGTCACTGAACAGGGGGCGTTTGATGACCAACACCGAATTAGTGATGACCAATTTACGCAAACGGTGTTACCAACTGTATTGTTATTTTGGCTCAAATAACATGTTATCAGCCTAATTACATTGCACACGATGTAATATGCCCCCATTTCACTTGCGTTGCGTCAGTGCCAATCAGGGTCGGTCAGTAAATTTTGGGCTGTCGCAAAACTGTTCGAGCATTTTCGAACATTTTCGAACACAAATGGCACATCTACGATTCATATCGGTCAGAGTTACGTCAGTATTCGGTCAAAATGGGCCGGTGTCGGTCGGTGTGCGGCAATAGCTGCGTTGATGGTGCGATGATGAGTGTCAGAGTTGCGATGCACTTGGATGCACATAGGACAGACATACGTCGATGTGGGTTAGTGTGCGACGCAGTTGCGTCGATGTTACGCCATGGAGGGTCACAGAGGGTCAGACATGTTGATGNTTGGATGCTTCCCTTGCCCAACGATGGTTATCACCTGGCCCACACTTTCAACAACTGGCTGGACCTCTACCTGGTGCTCGTCGTCTCCTGTTGGAGTGTCTCCGGGCTGCATCACGGCTTTGCCCTTCGTCTTCTTTATTGCCTGTCTTAACGTTTTTCTTGATTTCTTTGGTGGCATGATGCTTTGGAAAACAAATGTATCACTAGCCAATCGTATGTGGCGCACCCGTATTTATAGCAACCGACATTGACCAAACTACAACCCAAGCTGACCGAATATTGACGTAACACTGGCGCAGGCTGACGCAGCATGACCGAATGGCGACCCATGTCTAACCCCGCCAGGCAGTGCATGACGGTCCCTGACATTGTTTGCTGACTGAATGTGACCGAATGTCGACTCAGAGCAACCGACTGTGACGTAACACCAACGCAGAGAAACGCACTGTTGACCGAGTCTGATAAAACACTCGGACAGGCAGGGTTTGTCAGGGTTTGTGTTAGGTCGTTGGGGGTTGCTATTCGGTTAGACTTACGTCACCTTGCGGTGAAGTTCGGTTGATGAGGGTTAGTACTCGGTCAAAATGCTATCTTGGCCTGTCGCAGCCGATTTTTATGCATGCTCAAAATTTGCCGGGGTCAGAAAATGTTCTCTCGGTCACTCTGCGTCAGTTGGGGTTTCTCGACGTCACCCTTCGGCCAGTGCTTGGTTGATATTCGGTCAATCTACGTTCCTGTCGGATGCTGTCGGATGGTGGCTAACCGACACCGACGCCGCCTGTCGTAGCCTAGTGAAATGGGGGCATTTAACGAGTGTTAGCTTACAAATACACCAGTGGTCTCCAGACAGACATAAACGGAAATCTCTGGTGATGGCCTTATGTGCAACCCAGCACGAAGAGATCTAACTAACTAGCTTACATAATCCACAAACCACTTTATACCTTACGGAAACACCCGAGTGGTATTCAGGTTTCGAGTACATATAACGTTATGTCCGGAGAAAGGGAAATTTCAAAGACGGTTACAGTGCATACCTACCAAGAAACTATTTACCGCTGATTTGCTGCTATGAACACAGATATCTTATCTCCGAAAGCCAAAGTACAACACAACAGGAGGCGAGACATTTGGCTGTAGCTTATGCAATTAGTCAAGCCTTCGTGTTATATGCGTAAGAGTTAAAATCTTCATATTACCTGTTAAAAAAACTTTACTTCCGTTAGAAAACAATGATATCCGTGTTCCAATTGGTGCATGTATGTACATGTATAATAGTTCCGGTAGGGGCTAACTGTCAAGCGCGTGTGAAACAATAGTTAAAATCAACTGGTTGACAAAAACTGCTTGATTAACGAACTGATAATTTCTACTACAGACTGTTTTTTAGATGGAATTTTGATAAAAGAAAGTCATAAAAAGAAAATCATAGAATTATTAAATTTTAGGTTTTAACACTTTTCTTTTTAATTTCACTACAATAGTTTAGAACGATATTTTAGTGTTGACCACACGTGTTTGTTTCAGTGACAATAAAGGTGATCCGAGTAAGTACAAGCACGACGGAAAGATCCGACTACAGTGACGTAAAAATCATTCGGAAAACATCGGTAGGTTTCGGTTTTTTTCGTTAATAGATACATAAATAATGCGTCGTGTTTACAGTGCAAAACTATTAGGACTACCTCGGAACCGATTTCACTGTTTACTTTTCGACGCTGAAAATACACGTGCTTGTAACATTGATAATATAAGTGATCCCCGTACGGGAGTAAATCTCAATCTTTTGTCATGGCTTATAAAAGAAGTAAACATATGTAGCCTATAGATAACACAAACGTTACTTCAAAGACGACACATCAATTAATATATTGAGTTTAGTATATTCGTTACAACACATCCACCTGTCAGATCCATCTTCATTATGACATGCATGTGCTTGTAATTAGCTGCCGTCTTTTGATTATGCCAGTACATATTGATATCATGTCACGTACTTGCGCGCCATGCATTAACAGAACAATGCACGTGCTATCACGACAAAGAACACAGCATTTCTAATTGAATTGATGTCCATTGAGTAATTATTCCTAACCTTTGCTGAAAGCCATTACGAACATATGAATGGTAATTAGTAGTCACATGTTAAACGCGTATAAACTTGACTATCGTCATTTATTACAGAACTGTCTCAGTTCCAGCAGGTACAAAGACGTCTTGATGACCATGATTACGTAAACAGATATTTGATATTGAACTTGCTCCGCATCAAGAATGAGATAGCGCTATTATTTTTTGTGCACGTATAATTATGTTGATATATAAAATTAGTTCTTACTAAAATTCTTACAAGACTCGTTGAAGTCATCCTGAGTTCCAATTTTCTGGACAAATAATCGTATTTTCAATATGAATACTGAAAAAGAGTTAAACATACACGTTTAATACGAACATTACAAAGTTGAGTTTTCTCTATTTCAAAAATAGTTTATATTGTTCTGCTAGCTTTCAAGGTTAGAAAAAACAATTATTCACAAAAGCTTCCATACCTTAAAATGTGACACAAGTACCCGTCATCTTCTTCACTTTCACAATGACATTGTCCTAGCTACGATGGGCAACAGTTGGACACCACTGAAGTAATAGAAAAAAATGACAATTAAAGGGAGATAAACGCAAGTTGAATCCTAGACAGCTCGATTCTTCATACCGTTTACGTAAACTCTTCTTTTTTGTATTCATATTGAATGCAGAACAACTTTGTCCCTAAACTTTAACGAATCATAAAGATATATTCTATATTCAGATGGTTTGCCTAATATCACCGATCTGTAATTCAGATGAGGTATGCTAGTGAGAAAAACTAAAGAAAACAAAAAAGAAAATTCGTGAAAAAACACGACCAAATTTTATCTAATTGACGTTTACGTTATGTAAACCTTTCCTCGAACCTATAGCTGTTGAATGCATGGAGACTGTTACTAACATGGTATACCCTCACATAAGTACATACACATTTACAGAATCTTAAAGGCTTAGTTTGTTTTGAACACAAAGAGGAATTGAAAACTTGTTTTGCGAGCTTTCGAAAATGTCTGTATCCTTTGTCAAGCAAAGAGTCAAATGACCGGTGTCTCGATTCTAAACCGCTGAAAGAATCAGTGAAGTCAGCTGTCAAAATTCATAGAGACTTTTCGCCCAATTGCACTCTAATACTGTAGGCAGTCAGGGGGACGGGTTACATGTTTACCCATTCCGCCCCTTAGTGGATGTTCAGAGTCGGGTTACCGGTCATTTAACTCTTTGCTTGACAAAGGAAACAGACGTGCTCGAAAGCTCGGAAAGTTTTCAATTCCTGTTTGTGTTAAAAACAAACTTAACCTTTATTATTCATACCTAACTTGCCGATGAATGGTATTCCCAATTAACAGAACCTGTTACTGACTCCACATTAAGAAATTTCGTCACTCTGTACATCCTAATGTTTATGTAAATGATCTAAATTCGATGGTCAAACAGTTTATATATTGTGTGTGTATTGGACCATTGATAGTCCAGACATTGTGGACATTGACTTATAGCCAACCTAATATTTCACCTAAAAGATCTCTCTCGGATACTTAAGGTGATATCACATAAACTGACGCAGATACATGTAGCTTCCCATGTATTAATTAAATATCTATCTTAAACTATTAAGATATTATATGATATATTACTATGAGATAGCTTTATTGAATGTTACATTGTAATGCTTCTCTATTTAATTAAGGATATATATCTCTTTCATTTACAGATATTTCTAATTCTTTGGCAACGTCTCTTTGGGTATTTTAAAAATGCTAAGTTGTTTTGCTCGAAGTCTGGACATTTTTGAGGATCAAGAAGCAATGTACATGTAATATAGTCCAGAAAATTCCGTCAATCCGGACACCTTATAACTTAGTAAAAACACAACATCCGGAGTGACAGCACGAACTACATTGTACTTAACAATTCAGTTTTCGTAAAGTGAGTTGTCAGTACAATGGATTCCATGAATATTTACATTAATCTGTAAAGTTGTTTATCCTACAGTAAAATGTGTACTCCATTGTTTTATGTATTTCGTGCATAAATAGCAACACCAACAACGAAATCAAGAAAAAACAACAATTGTTATTGAAAGATAAATATTTCATTTATACAACGTTGTTTACATTTTCTTTCTTTTTAAAATCAGAATGANGGTTAACAGGTAATCGAGATATATTTATAGTAAGCAAAATTAGCTTATCTTGACATCATTGTTATTTCTATTTACATTTTTTTTATTTTTCAGAACAAGGCTAGATAGATGAGGGATATCTTCACATCAGTTCATTGACGTCATCAAGTTTCAACACGTGACTGGATGAAGATTTGTGCATGCGCTTTGAATCATCGACATTAAAAGCCGTTCTCAACACAGAAAACACAGAAGCGGATTGAAGAACCGAGTTCAGCTCAAGGACATGTATTTCATTATCTGTTATTTATATCGAGAATCGACAAACACATTTAGACATCTTAACAATCAGAAACATATAACTTTCACATGTATCTGAGACATATATACACGTCATACGTGTGTTATATCGTCATTTTATACAGAGAAGACTAATCTTTACCCAGAGTTGTCGTTCTTTACACTAACTTTCATGTACGGTAGAGATTGAGAGTAGAAAAGGAGTGACGATAAGACTATATTAATCTTATCCAATACAGAAAATACATCCTCAAGTACATATGTACCCAGAGTTGTCGTTCCTTACACTTCACGTTCATGAAAGTGAGTATGGGAAACGATGACTCTAGGTAGAGATTGATGTATGTGAATGTAGCGAACGACAACTCTGGGTAGAGATTGAGAGAAGACAAGATCCTATACGGAAAACACATACACAAATACCCAGAGTGGTCGTTCCTTACACTTCACATACTTTAAGGAAAAGACGATTAGTTCCGTCTTTTCCTGATTAAGCTTTAGCATGTTGGCGTTCATCCAGATACTGATATCTGTCAGACAAGCTTCCAGATTTCCAGATCCTGTATCCCAACTGTCCTGTGGTTTGATGACCATGTAAATCCGTGTGTCATCAGAATAACAATGATAGCGAATGCTGTATTAAGCTTATCTTTTAGAGTAAACTCATCCTCAAGAAAGATCTTCAATCATTAATGGGTGAATTATACTTAAGTATAAAATCACCAAAATGGGTATAGGTCATGTTCAATTATCAAAACTAAGATGAGATATGTTTATCCTTTTTTATCCCATAACACGTACAATATAGAAAACGATACCATTATTTGATTTCCCGATCTGGAGAAAAATCAAAAGACGTGATGTCATTATTTTACTGTGACGTCACAAAATACGATGCTAATTTGCCCTGTGAAATTATAAAAGGAAGAAAGAATATAACCATTTGTGGGATAAAACTATATATTTGCTGCCTATTTCATATTAAATATATTTTCTACAATGTTCATGCAATTATTTTACTACACACGTGTATATGTAAAAAAAATGATGTCGGAGATACTTTTATAATGTGTAGAAGACAATCTTGAAACCCTTGCCTGATATTTAGCTTATATGAAGCTTTCTTATCAATGAATCATTTTCGTTTCATTTGTGTAATGTGTTTTGGATGTTATTGTTCTGTTTCAGTTTTGTGGTCCAGGAAGTAATAACATGTTATTACGTGTCGTTTTATTCCAGTTTGTGTAATTAACGCATGTATTTGCGAAGAGGATATTAATTCGAAACTCAATTATTTTTCTAAATTTCATTCAGAAGAATTTTAATAAGTGTATAAGCTATATTATGAAATTATTTAAACACATATTCATGATAATAAGTGGTCGTGCAAATAACTCTTTATTAATATTACTATTTTTGAAGAAAAATCGCTAAAATAAGTCTATGAAAATAAGTCTCCGTGAACAAGTTGTAGTGAAAATATGTCTTCGTAAATATAACCATTCGTGAATGTAAATCTTCATAAAATGTTTTTTCGTGAAAATTAGTCTTCGTGAGCAGTAAATTGTTTACGGCAATAGACGTAGTAACTCAAACACCCTGACGTCATGCGCTGTATTTGTTTTCACAATTGTGGGCTCTCCTCTCCCTCTAGTTTGACATTTGTTGGCGTATGTCGGTAGATCTAATGTTGCAAATTTAGCTGTACTGGCCACACTGGCCGTACGGAAAGAATCTACAAATATCACGAGAGACTAGTGCTTGTTTTGTGTAAATATCCATGACATAGCTGACATATGTATAAATGCTTTCTGTGTATATTTTGATCACTTGTATATTTTTGCCATTTGTAAATAGACAAACATACTAGCGGTACAGAGTTATTTATTCGTAGGCTAGAATGCGATTATTTATGTACGGATTAAGGGATGAGATAAATTATTGTAAACCTCACATGTTGTTGTTTTTGTTGTTGTTGTTTTTGTTGTTGTTGTTGTTGTTGTTGTTATATACTCATATAATAACGCCTGAAATAGTTGTGACAGGTACATCTCCTGAAATTTCCGCATTATCTACATGTAAAGTCATATTTGCTCATACTAATTGAGAGGCCCTTTACAGAAAAAAAATATAATAAATAAACAAATCAATAATACATTATATAATTAGACACGAACCAACACACATCAGTAGCTATATAGTTGTCTGTGAACCTTTAGGATTTCGAGGGATTCCGAAAGTAAATGGCCTGCCATTTGGCAATTTAAATTCCTGTACTTTTCACATTATCCCTCTCCTTTAGAAATCCACCAACATGCACAATACACCACAACATTACTTCAGTCTGTGGGTAGCTGAGGGGAGGTCACTCTATAAGCTAAGAGCTGCCAACTTGGGGCACATTATCGACTCTGCTCCAAACTCTGCTGACAGCTTATCAAGCTTTACCTGGGATTTGTCCACCTCTTTAAATTTGTTCATCCTACAACTATAATTATAAATTCTGATATTATCACAATAATCATGTAACTATATGTTACTGAGTGGGTAAAGAGAGATCTAGCATGATATATTATACATTGATACTTGGTTATATGAACGACGATATATAAATGAGTATAATTTCATTTGCTCTGCGTCCTTCCCATTGTAATGCATTGCGAAGGCAAATGTTGTTATGAGACTATAACAACATTTGCTTTTGCAACTTCATCAGTCTCTATTGTGACTTCATCAATTTCATTGATAGCAACACTTGATTTGCTGTTCAAAAGCTGTTCGAAATGACTAAATAAAGCATAACTACTCTATCAAAATGTAAATATTTTAGCAAATATTGTTATGGTCCTATAACACACATTTCTATTGATGATAAACTTATAAAAAGCCCTATCGGGCTTTATTTAGTTTGTCATCAATAGCATTGTGTGTTATAGGACCATAACGGGCTTTTAATAAGTTTGTCAGCCATAGAAATGTGTGTTATAGGACAATAACAACATTTGCTAAAATAATCATTGCAGCTTTCCGATTCTTTCCTGTAGGAGATAAAATGTAATGTGGAAAAAAATCTAGCAGTCAAACTACAGTTGTCTTCCACTATAGTAAGCTGACTATTCATTTGACGGCTTTATATATAGCTATTAATAAATTCAATTAGAAATGTTTATTCGCTGGAATGTACGTATTCCTCTCCGACTGATATCAGAGACACATACAGATGTGATGGAGTCGACTCTTTATCATATATTATATCAACTACGAGAACTTGCATATGAAATCAACTTATTTAAATAACAATATTCTGATTTACACTTTTATACTTACCCAAATTGCAAAATTGACATTCGTTAAATGATAGTATTGACAATCATGAAGGAGTAGATTAACGAAGGTGAAACCAAAATGCCTCAAAGCAAACAAAACAACTTCAATTACTACATGAAATACATTTTGAATCAATTTATTCATTTCTGGACGATTCGGTAATATATGCATTACATGCAAACGTGAAATATTAACATGCATATCAAATGTAAATACATTTTAGTAATGACTTATTCATTCAAATATAATTACAATGTACATTTAAATGATAGTAAGTTATTGATAAAAAAATATATATATCATTAAAAAATAGTTGAATTAAAAACAGTTGATGTCCGGAAGGGTCACATTAAGTGGTTCCTGCACCACCTGTGGTTACTTGTCATACTGTTTCCTGTCACATCAGGGAAGTATTGCAGTCACCACACGCTATCTAAATATATGTTAACAGATCTCAAACCTTTGTAGAAACTGTAACACTAATTATCCATATATGCCAACGATAAAATGTCCTCAATATAAACTTTAGGACACTCCTGTAGATCTAAATTTCTATTCTAACGCATGTTGATTGCACTGCTGATCCATACAAATCGTTCATGTTGACAATTGATCACGATTACTGAAGCACGAATTACATTAACTCCGTGAGGGAGCTTTTATCATAACATTATTGAAACTTTTTCTTGAATAAATATCACGTTTGCTGGTTTTACCAATCAAAACACTGATACTGTGACAAATGTTCAAAGCCTGGTTAGCTTAACGATACGCAGGTCTCGAGAAAATCCGTCTGAGACATCAGCCCATTCTACTGTTATGCATGCTATTCTTTTGGGGAAACAAAACGTTTAATTCCACATTTAGCTTTCATTTTTATAGAAACCAGCAGACTATGCAGGCCATCAATTCTAACTGTTTGAAGAGAGGAAACTCACGTCGAATGAAACACGGTGTCAGCGTCTCGTAGATCAAAACGAGGCTGAGCGATTGGCAGAAAGTATTTGTGAGAGAATCAGTGTCATCTCTGACAGTGACAGTGATTAAGTATAATGTGAAAAGGTGATGTTGATATTTTAACATCAGGATATAGTGATTCGGAGGTAATGAACACCGCGTAGTGATCTGACTTGATATGACGGGAATTTTTATTTAATAATACAAATTATTATACATGTAGTTGTCTGTAGTTATTAAAATATGAACTAAATACCCTACTTTATTAAAACAAATAATTAAAGGAATTGAATAATGACTTTTACATTTTATTAACATTTTATGGAGGATCATGTTTTGTCGCGTAGGGATGTTAAACATGCTGGTGGTAAAATTATCTAGATCAAGTATTGCCAGCTTCATTGCCAAACAACGAGTGAGAAGAGATGAATAGGATATCAACCGAGGTAACAAGAAAAGGCATACTATAAAACATGGTCTGGATTGGTTTGGTCAGGTTTGGTCAGGTTCTGTCTGGTTGGTCCGGTCCCGAATTTTTAGTCTGGGCTGGTCTCATCGGCGTGGTCCCAAAAGTTTATCAGATCTGGTCTCAGTGGTTTGGTCCCAAAACGGTATCTAGTCTGGTCTCACTGGGCTGGTCTCATTGGCGTGGTCCCAACAATTGATCTGATCTGGTCTCATTGGTCTGGTCCCAAAACGTGATCTAGTCTGGTCTCACTGGGCTGGTCTCATTGGCGTGGTCCTAAAAAAATATCTGATCTGGTCTCATTGGTCTGGTTCCAAAACGTGATCTGATCTGGTCTCGTTGGTCTGGTCTCATTGGTTTGGTCTCAAACTATGATATGGTATAGTCTCATTGGACTGGTCCAAAAACGTGATCTAGTCTGGTCTCACTGGTCTGGTGTCAAAGCGTGGTCTGGTGTTGTCTCACTGGGCTGGTCTCATTGGTCTGGTCCTAAAACGTGATCTGATCTGGTCTCATTGGTCTGGTTCCAAACGTTGATCTGTTCTGGTCTCACTGGTCTGGTCCCAAAACGTGATCTAATCTAGTCTCATTCTGGTTTCAAAACTTGATTTGGTCTGGTATAGTTTCATTGATCTGGTCTCAAAATTTGATCAAGTTGGTCTCACTGGTCTATTACCAAAACTTGATCTGGTCCTGTAACAAAACGTAACCTGGCTTAGTCTGATTGGTTTTGTCTCACAACTTGATCTAATCTAGTATCATTTTGGTTTCAAAACTTGATCTGGTCCTGTAACAAAATGTAACCTGGCTTAGTCTGATTGGTTTTGTCTCACAACTTGATCTAATCTAGTATCATTTTGGTTTCAAAACTTGATCTGGTCTGGTGTTTAAGTCTGGTCTCAAAAAAGATCTGTCCTGGTCTCATTTGTCAGATCTCATTGATCTTGTCAGTAATGGATTTTGAAGCAGGTGTCATGGGTTAGAGAGAAATATTTTTTTACTTCTGTTTGTATCGATCAATTACTTATTTTTCTAAATGATCGATCGAATAATTGATTTCTTATAAATACGAATCTACATTTGTACGTAGCCAATATCAATTATCTGAAACTAAACACGGTTTTAAATACCTCATAATATGTGTAAGAGTAATTCGAGGTTCGTCTGCTAACCGCTTTATCACAACCTAGTTTGTAGGTCGTCTCAAAGCGATTCACAATTTATTACCCGTGGTTATAGGGCCTTTGCAACCAGCCAATATCTTTCTCAACTCTCTTGGTGCTGCCATTTCGGCGCTCACAGCTAGCATTCAACAATTCTAGCACTGACCAATCAGGAACTCATTTACACCTGAGTAAATTGGAACAGATACAACACAGTGCCGTGACGTGACTCGAACCCGCAACCCTTCGGTAACGAGCCCGACGTCCTACATGCACCACTAGATTACCATTCCTTACAGAAGGAAGAGGGTAGCAGCATCAAGGCACGGCAATTGGTGATACACACTGCCACATCAATCAATGACGACATAATTAAATTTCACTCTTCAAAGGAAACTTTGCTGTGTGAAATGTTATTCTCCAAATTATTTTAGTGACATTGAAATAACAGTGTTAGATAGGAAGTAAAGCGAACCATTTGGATGTCAAGAATATATAACAGTCACGTTTACAGGTGAAGCAGTGTGCTATTGATTTCTAATCGGGGCTGTATTTCAGCTATCAAAACACTGCAGTATCCTTAACTAAAGTAGGGTTTTCTCCGCATACATCTTTTTACCGTTGTGGACGAAACCATTGGTGTTGTACGTGTGTTAAAGAGGAGATAACTCTTCCAGACCTACTGTACAATGAACAGCAATACATTCATTCAGTCATACTAACACAAAATAGATGAAAATGATAAAAACATCTGAATTAAATTTAGAATTAATTTGGACAGATTTACGTCTCTCACATCTTTGTCTTCCTAACTCAATTCTATACATTTTGGGGCCTAGTCGATGTGTTGTTGATTTCTAATCGGTGATACACTGTACACGTAACTTTATACAGTCACATGTGTAGGTTTTATGCTTTATGTCAATTTTAGTGAGAAATATTCTTGAATCCACAAAATTTCATTTCTACATGTATAACAAACACAGCATTTTGAATTTATCTAAAATTGATATTTATTTAGAGTCTCAATCTTGATTCCG